TGATCTGTGTGGCAGAGCTCTTGATGTGCTTAACGTCTGGAAGTAGGAGAGGACGAAGAAGCGATTAACGAATGCCCAGGGTAATAGCTATAGCAGATCATTCCATAGGTGACAGCACTCAAAATGTATTCTCTGATGTATTCATTTTTCTGTCTAATAGAAAACTCAGCAAAAAGGAGTTACCAAAAACCGCTCTACCATAATCAGGCAATTGCAAAGTGCCATTTATTGTAGCTGCCACAAGCTCTTAATACATTTTCCATTCATTCGTCTGCCATTCTCCACCGAAACTATTCTTCATTCGGTGGGGGAAACCGTGGCAAGCCGCATCCATCTCTTCGCTCTGGTACATTTGCTGGGCAATATCTTTTGGGGAAAGTATGTGCTCATCTAGCCATAGGATAGACAGACAATGATCTGTGATGATAATTATCCATTGAATCGCGACTAATCTCACAGCTAAAACTCTCTATATCTCCGCTTTGTCAGTCTGCCAGTCGGGATGGCGGAGGCTGTGTAAGTGTGTAAGTAGTGCCATCAATTATGGGCCACAATTACTGCACTGCACTACTAGTAGGAGAAAACGAGGGAGAGCGACAGAGTTCCTAAAAATAACACCCCATTCGAAAGCGGAACTGTCTCCGTATCCCAAGCCCAATCCCATTCCAACCAGTTCTGGCTGCCTGCCTTTCCCTTCCTGCCCGCCTGTCCGTCTGTCCGTCTGTCCGCCTGCGCCTGTTCCGACTGTACCGCACATGGAAAATAAATTGCCAAACAAATATCAACATGACAAATTGATAAATTCATGTTATTATTCCACGGATGCTGCCTGGCGAGAGCATCTCCAAGAGCAAGAGAGAGAGAGAGAGAGAGAGAGAGATGTGTACAGGCCGCAGTATGAGTGGTTATAGTGGTTCTAGTCTCGCACTTTCACACATTAACCAAATGAAAATTCGGTGTTGACGCATTTGTTTTACTCATTTTTCCTCCCCACAATTTCCCGATTCTCCCAGTTCCCTTTCCCACTGCCATTTGATGGCGACAAATGAGCCAGGCGTTCGTCAGCAGCTGACAAAAACAACAAGTACCGAAGGAAAAACTACTCGTAGATGATGCCAGTGGAAATGAAAATGGAGACATTGAGCACGTTGCTGCGGCATTTGTCAACGATTTCCATATGGCCAGCGGCCTCACCGTCTCTCCGCCCATCCCCTTAGCCGGGACTGCGATCTTCTATTGGAATTTTAATGATGCGCGAAATGTTAATTTTTCATCTCGATCTGCCACGATTTGTGTGCACAAGTATCCTCCCTCCCATCCATCCATCCATCCATTCATTCAGTTAATTATCCAGCAGCTGAGTCATCGGCAGTCATCCCGGTTGGCGGTTGGCGGTTGGCTTTCAATTAACGTTGATCACCTCAATTGAGGCACGTCTCGCTTGTCGTTTGTCCATTTGGCCAATTAAGGAGCCAACGTTCCTCCGCGCCTCCTCTCTTTTATCTTTTTTTATTGTATTTCCTTGGCCTGCAACAGCAGTTGGCATTACATGTGGGCTGCTGCTGCAGTTGTTGGCCACATACTGGCCACTCGCACTGTGCACACTCGTAATTCCCATTAATTGAGCGGAATGGATAGAGCAAATATTAAGTTACACTGAGGTGAAGAAGCAAAAGAATTTTATGGGCTTGCACCCTCCACCGTTTGCTCCATCCACCAGCAGCTTTTTCGCGCTGGTCGCGTGTTTAATAATAATTTCTTTGGAACATATTTGTATGTTCGAGTGAATGTTTATGGTAAGCGGTGGTCTAATTAAAATCAATTGCCTTAATTGAAAGTACAACAAAGCACCAAGTGCTGAAGTGCTGAAGTGCCGAAGTGCTGCCGAAGGAATGGAAACTCTCATCGGACACATGAAGGTAGCAATTTGATCGCTGGCATTATTTATGGTACACTCCTCCTCCCCCGCCATAGCTTCGAGTGAGTGAACTAGAGCGGACAGCCATAAATCAGTTACATTCGAAACAGCAGCAGCATTTTCGTGCTATTCAAATTGGCATAAATCTAACATCGATGCGATACAAAGAACTATATATTCCGAGGGCTAGGACGAGTCGGAGGCTGAGTCCCATTGCATGTTAATTTTTCAAAATGCCGCGACAGTTTCTGGTAATTGCAAAGTTTTTTGCTTTTGGCCAGGGCCCTAAACAAGTGCCATATATTATATATTATTTGGCCTGCCACTTGATATATGGCTGCCCGAGTCCAAGCAAATGATAAATTCTCTCTTTTATTCTTCCCACATTCGCGTAGCCCTTGGCGGGGCACCAGGCAACCAGGCTGTCGCCAGATTCTCCTCTACTCTGTACTCTGTTCCGCTTATCTTGGCCACAATTCATACTCGGCGTAGACTCATCCAAATCTCTGGCACTTCATATGCAATTCTGTTTCTGTTTATTGGCCTGCAAGCAGCAGGCAGCAAGCCTTTTTGTTGTATGATTTCTTTGCCAATTTCTCGCTCTGACTTGCATCGTAAATTATGTAAATTGTTTCGCAAAAATACATTCCGTTGGCAGTTTAATTAGCTATCCAAAGTGTCAATGGAGTGGGTGTTATTTGTCATACAAAAAGAGCAATTGGAACTATTCATAATTCTTAAGAAGTTCAAAAGTTAAGGGAGGAGATTGAAGGCACACCTTCGAGAAGCTTTTCAGATCAAGGGATCAGATCACCACAAAACAACCAACAGAAAACAAACAATTGACATTAACATATTCCCTTTGTGGGTGAATATTCCACCATGAACTTCGACCTCAATTATGAAAGTGAGAGCGAAACGCGACTGGTACACAGCTTCTACCCTAAACACTTTTCTAACCCACCAACCACTACTTTTACCCCCGTAGTAGAGAGACAATTTATCGGCTGGGGGATAAACATGCGAACATACCTCAACTTTGAGCATTTTAAAATGGTTCAACGCACTTACGGGTATGAAAAGAACAAGCCAAATGTGCACATACTCGTAATATTAAATGGGTTCACTTACGAATAGGAATACGTATAGTAGTGTACAATGTGCCGCTACCCGTAGCATCACATGTGGAAAATGTGCGACAGAAGCAGACAACAGCAGGAGGAAAAAAAAAAAGGAAAACAAATTTCAATTTAGCTTAAAGATTTTGCACATAAAATTTGTAACACTCAATTAGTTTAAACGACAACGGGCAAAAATGTTGCCAGAACGAACACGAACCCTGGTAACGCTGGCAACCCTGGTCGCACAACCGACAGTCAGCGTGTGTTTCTCTCTCTTTTCCGCTTGTTGTAAATGCGGCGACGTATGAATTTCGTTTAATATGATTAGTGGTGTGCTGTGTGTGTGGACCTTTCATCCGCCAGGACTCACATATGAAAGACAAGTGCACTAATGGAGAACTGTTCTCTCTCTCTCTCTCTCTCTCATATGTATTGGGCCATAAAGATTTTTACGCTGCATACTTGCGGGCGCTGTGGCATAAATCAAGCCAAAAAGACATCATTACGTTGTCAAAGAGTGGGAGAGAATGAGAAAGAGGTTCGAAAGGTGGTTGAGAAATCAGTCAAGCCTGCAGGATGAGCATCATCGAGTGTGTGTAAGAGGGGGAGGAGGCTTGAATATCCCACAAAAATCGAATGGCAAAATCAATTTAATTTCGCTAATGTAGTGTAATGCAAGTTGGTCTTCGGGGGCGTTGGCGATTAGCAACAAATGCTCCATTCGTTGCTGCTTACAACCCAAAGGGAGTGGAGTGGATGGGAGTGGAGTGGTTGGTTGGTTTGCTACACCATCTGGACGAGGTGGGTCACTCAGTCAATCACTGTATTGGCGTGGAGGGGGGGGGATGTGAACAAAATCTTTATTAATTCTGATCGATGGATGCAGCGCACCATGATTGTTGCAACAATCAAATGATGGAGCAGCGCTTACCCCACAAAAGCTTCTCACTGCTCCCTGAGATGAAGGATTAGGAGGAGAGTAGCTCATACAAATTCGACAGCTGAAAGCGTTTCCGTTTCCGTTTTCTTGTCTTTGTTTGCACACACACACACACACACATGCCCCAGTCCTGGTCCCTGTCTCTATCTGTCTCTCTGTGCTTTTGTCTCAGTTCTCTACTTCTGTGTGTGTCCGAGTCCCTGTCCATCGATGATGCAATGAAGCGCGTTTATTTGTTGCTCGTAATTTATTTACTGCCCAACTCTGTACCCATTCTGCTCTGTACTTTGGCCTGCAGTCCGGCCAACTTGTTGGTTAAATATTGCCAGAAGTGCTGGTCAGCCATCTAGGGGAGCTGCCACTGCCACTGCCACTGCCACTGCCGCCCGAGAGTGATAAATTAATCGCTACATCAGTTTTTAATTCCGTGTTGCTGGTATGCGATATATCTCTAGCTTCGCTCTGCTCCATTCCCATTGCTTCCCAGTGCTCGCTGCATTGTCTCGTGTGTCCCAGCAATCGGGGGCAAGGTTCCATGACTCTGCCTGCCTGCTCTCAACCTTTGTAGCCAGCCAGCCAGCCAGCCAGCCAGCCAGCAGCATTCTCTGTGTGTTGCAAGCACTGTTTAAAGATGATGTATGGCTGCAATTTTGACAAATGTACAAAAATGAGTCATGAGAGTACACTCGCGGGTGGCTGCGCCCCCTCCCTGCTGTTGCACTAGTTTGTATTTACTGTTGACTTTTTCCATGTACTTTGGCATCGTTATCCATAAAACAAACGCACAGAAACACACAGAAACTGCCACCGAAGATGGAGCTGTGCTGTGCTGTGCCGCACACATGTTTTGTTTTCCAGTCATTAATCATCTATGGGTTTACCTTGCCACACAGCACAGCTCCCTTTGGGCACTGCCCTGCTGAATGCCACACCGCAGGCATGAAGTTTATGCTAAAAAGTATTTCAATTAATTCGAGCATGCCTTGGAGCTCCTTTCAGTGTCAGTCAACTGTGCGACGAATTCCCCTTTGCCATTTGCCAGTTCTACGTCTCTCGTAGACACTTCAACAGCGTCTCGTTTATCGGGCTTTGGGCAGCATTTTATTTTTACATATTTAAATTTGCGACCAGTTTTACGTGGTTCGGATTATCCAGAGAAAACAATGGCTAATCGCTCCTTTGACAATGGCAAAAACCCCCGTGACAACCGTGGCAATCGTGACGGCAATCGAGAGTTCAATCGTGACGGCAATCGTGATGGCAATCGAGAGTTCTATCGTGACGGCAATCGTGGTGGCAACTATCGTGGCACTTATCGTGGCAATAATCGTGACAACAACTATCGCGGCAATCGCGACAATCGGGACAACTATCGAGAGGACAGGAACTATCGCAATTTCGGACGTGATCGCAATTGGGATAATAACAATCACAATCGCAATAGCAACAACCAGCGGCCGGTGCCCACAGATCCCCCATTCAGCGCCTATGTGGGCAATCTGCCCCAGGGCCTTGTCCAGGGCGATGTAATGAAGATATTCTCGGACTTTGAGGTGAAGAACGTGCGGCTGGTCAATGACCGTGAGACGGACGAGTTCAAGGGCTATGGCTACGTGGAGTTCGAGACGCTGGAGCAGCTGGAGCGCGCCCTCGCCTGCAATGGGCGCATCAAGCTGGACAACTTATCGGCTCCGCTGCGCATTGACATTGCCGATCATCGCCGACAATTGGGTGAAGGTGGTGAAGGTGCTGCAGGCGGAGGTGGACGCGGCGGAGGAGGTGGCTATCATCAGTCCTCGGGCAGCCGCAACTATTACCAGCGGCGCAACTATCGTCGCGACGACAGCGTCGGCTCGCATCAGATTCTGCCCAGTCCGGACACCGACAGCCTGCGCGGCTCCCCCGGGCAGTCCTTCTCCAACAGCAGTCCCACCAGCAGCAGCGTAACCCTGCGAGGTGGCCCACGGTCTCCCCGAGACAACAACATCCGCTCCGGTGGCTATGGCCGGGACGGAAATCGCTACCAGGGCCACGACAATGCCCAACGCAATCGCAACCACAGCACGGGCTACCTCGAGAGCCGACAATCCTCGGAGAGCATTCAATCGCGCAATCGCAACTTCAATCGGTAATCCACAGGAACTACATTTATTCCCCACGAGAGACTTAATCCTTTTCCTGCAGTTACAACAACAACGGCAGAGGTGGCGGCGGCGGCGGTGGACGCTCGCCGGATCGTCAGCGTTTCAACAGCAGCAACGGCAATGACAACGGCAACTACACACATTTTACCCAGAATCGCAATCGGGATCGCCGTGGCCACTACAACCCCAATGGTGGTGGCGGTGGCAATGGCCATGGCCATGGCAATGGCAATGGCAGCGGCAGCCTTCGCGGCACCAGTCCGGGCTCCACTTCCCTTCGCTCCCTCATTGACGACGACGATCGCCCGAAGCTGCAGCTGAAGCCGCGCACTGTGACGGACCCCCTCAATGCGCTGGCCAACACCGAGCAGGCCTCGAAGATCTTTGGCAAGGCCAAGCCACGTGCTGAGCAAACCACGCCCACAACCACTCCACGCTCGGAGCAGAAGGGCGGCAACAACAGCGACTAACCGGACACCAAAAGACACTCAAAAAAGAACAAAAAAACACCTCAAAGGATTCAAGCAAATACCCACAAAATCAGCAGCAGAAACAGCCAACAAGATCTCTCCCTCCTCTAAATGTTCGTGTCGAAATGAAATTGTATTTAAATAAATCTTTAAGTGCAGCGAAAAAGATCTGTTCAGCGGTGAATTGTAAGTTGATTTTCTTCTATTCATAGTTGAACTTTTTGTGGATAATCATCAATGCAAATTAGTAGTTTCCGCTCAAAGAAAAGCTGTCTTCAAATCGTTTTGTTAGGCCTCCACAAAACATTGAAAACACGAAAAGTTCCTTACCTAATTAGACATTATGCGACGAAGTCTACTTATCAACCATAAACCTCTACGAATATTCCGCCACTTTGGCACGATGAGCTCCCATAAATTTCAAAAGTTAATGCTCAGTGACACAAAATCCAGCAAAAGGGAAAGGAAATGGCCAGGAAACCTGCCACTCGTGGACACTCGCGGACACTTGCGAGCATTAACTAGTCAACTCGAACTAATTGAATTGAGATGAGATTAAAGAATTTTACGCCGAAATGAAGACATCGGCCAGTTGTCGGCAGTTGGGGCCGTGAAACGTGGACTTAGAACCGGGCCGGGCCGGGACAGGACACTTGTCGTGGTATTTATGGGCCAAGATTTACGAGACACAACACAAGGCATCCTTCTGGTCAGGCAGGGTCCTGGTTCTAAAGGCAAATTGGCTTAATTTCTTTTTAATTTGCTTCCGCTGTTCCGCGTTCGCCTCGGTCTTTCCGTTTTCTTTGGAGCGGCCTCTCGAAGTGAAATTCAATTTGAAAAAGTGGCCAACCCAGCGACCCCGGGACACGTCTACGGCAGCGGATACGGAGGTGAACAAGGCGTGGCCGTGCCTTGTTTCCATTTAAATTTTCTAGATGATGATATGCCTATACCAGAGACCCATCCCATCCCCCCCCCCCCCCCCCCCCCCCGCCCCCCCCCCAAAACCCACCTTCCCCCCCCAATTTTTTTTTTTTTTCCGGGCCAACCCCACAGCCCCCCCCCCCCCCCCCCCCCCCCCTCGCC